AATACGTCCATTAAAAGGTGCAAGAGTAAAGAAGGAAGCTTGGAAATGGAAGCTGCGCAATTTGAAATATTGCGATCTAATGATTGCACCAATTTACTTTGAGAGATTTTCGCCTTTCAGCGGCATCCGATACGATTCCGTTCTTCCACTCCTCGCTAGATCTTTCCGGCCGCATGCGTCTTGAAAATGTTGCGTGTCTCGAATCGTAGATCTCTCGTTTCCCAAAGATTTCTCGGCCGCATTTCTCGCGAGAATTCTCGCGGTCCGCTGCTTTCTGAAAATTTTAAGCTCCTTCCCAAGGACCTTTCTTGCATTTTCATTCCTTTTGATTTAATGAATTTTTATTTTGCTCCGAAATGATTAAATACTCGTATTTTATTTTCGCGAAGTCTCTCTGTCATCGATATCTGATCTTTCGAAACGTTTAAACTTTAAACATACCTCTCAAACGCGCAAAGGGGCGGTAGGAAATCGAAGACGCAGGACAGCAGATCGGTGGATTACGATTGAAACATATTTTACTACAGTAGGTTGGAGGAGTCTCTTTTAATATTCCGGCCGTACTCCTACGTTCTCGTTCCACTTTCAGCTTGCGTATTCCCGTGGATCGACGCTGGAAGCTTTAAACGACGTCAAATATAATTCCCTCTCCCGCAACTCCCCCCCTCCCCTCTCTCTCTCTCTCATTCGATCCTTGAGGAAGTAAGCGATGATCCTGTGTGTCAGGACATCCCAAGAAATATACCTTAGATTCCCGGATAAATTTAAAGTTGATTTTTTTTCAACTGACATTTAACTTCTAAAATTGATATCTTTTTAAAAATTTTTAAATTGGAAGGAATAATTACTGTTTTTGTAGGAGGCTTCTGTACGTTTAAATTATTCGCATAAAAAATGTGGAATAAAATTTTCTACTCCACTTACGTTTTTTAACGAAAATATTAGTGAGCTTGTAAGCTTAGAATATTATACATGTATACGTATATAGAGAAGCGAATATTTTGAAAAATCAGATTGCCCAAAAAAGCCCTGAGGGCAATGTGTTATGTTTTTAGAAAATTTTTAGAAGAAATATTGTCTATAACAGCAATGTGAGACACGTTGAAGAATATTGAGAGAAAACGTCGAGCATCGTTTTAAATTACAATCGCGAGTATCGAGTATAATAAGAAATTCTTCACTTAAGATCTTCAACGCGATAGTTGTGCGCTAGTGGGTTGTTGGTACATCGGATGACACAAATTCACCGGAAACTCTCCGGCTGCCGCCGTAAGTTGATTTGACGCAAGGCTAACCGCGTCTCGTAGTAGTCACGGTGTTGTGCGAGCCGGAGTGACAAAGTGACGTAAATTCGTGCCGTCGTATTGCCACGGAAACGTGCCGCCGCGCCGTCAAGCACAATGGTGCATTTTGAGAGCTCGTAGGTTACGACGCGATGGATATGTCGTTAATAATTGCAAAAGCATCCGCCGCGAAAACTCATACAAGCACGGAAATTTCCTTCTTGCGAAATTACGCGTGGGATGTCGTATATCAAGCATTTTGCATAAAATAATACAGTTTGATAATCGCTAAGAAAAATGATAGAGAACCGAAAAAAGATAGAACAAAGTAAAAATTGAAAAACTTTATGAAACTCATAGAATTGTCTAAAAAGTCGTCCAAAAAGCTAAAGGAAAGAGACCTTTCATGAATGAATTTTACCGATAAAATAGAAATAAGATGAATTAAAATTTTACCTATTTTTATTTATTGTTATTTCTACGTGAATGATTTGTTTGTCTTTTTTCAATCTTTATAATTTATATAATACGTCTTATTTACTTTTTCCATTATTTTCTTGTTCTAAGTACATTTTATTTTTATTGTATTCTTGTTATGAAAGTTATCATATCGCGATCACGAGATAGGCTTACAGAAAGATTTATGATTCGCAAACACATATTACTTGCAATAATCGCCATACCCATTGCGGAAGCTGCATCTGCGCGGTGACGGACCGTGCTGCTGCAGTTGCAGCAGTTGCTGCTGCTGTTGCTGCTGCTGCTGCTGCTGTTGCTGTTGCTGTTGCTGCTGCTGCTGCTGCTGCTGCTGCTGATGATGATGCTGATGATGATGATGATGATGATGTTGGGTTGTCGATTTTGATGGGGTCTGATTGCCGGAACTGCCGGCCATCCCCTCGAGACCCCTCGACAGCTTCAGCATCTCCGCGCCGAAGGCGTGAAGGGCGGACATGGCTGAGGGTGGTGGCTCGCTCTCCTGCAGCCATAGCTCGTGGGTGTCGAGGGTGGTTAGCTCGGTGTCGGTCGACGTGCCGGAGGTGTGTTGCGGCGTGCCGCCGCTTCCGCCCGAACCCTTGTTCAGGAGATATCTCTTCCAGGTGCCCCGTCGCTCGAGACCTGCGCGAATTATCGGAGAACCGGAGATTTTTTAGCGATTAATCAGAGCTTTCTTTCTGATGAAGGAGTTTTTCTTTCGCAAAAGGAAGGATGATTCCGATGATCTTCTATTTTATCCGTGAATGAAGGGGATTTGTCTTTTTTATATTGGGAGCATTTTAGCGACTTGACGATTGGAGAGCATCGGTAAAATGCAGGATTTACTCTTCGTTCGAGAAAGGGAGACGCTCTTTTGTTGAAAAACGCGAGATTTCAGCGAATTTAGCGAAGATGATATTGGAGATTGAATTTGTCTTTTTCTTCGATTTGAAGCTTTTTAAAATGAATTAATGCGAGAGCTCTCTTTGCAAGGAGAGACACTTCTTGTAAAGATATTTCGCATGAATTTCTGTATTGTACTCTGAAGTCTCTGAATCACAGAATCGATAAAAATGAATATTGTTAACAATGAATATTGATTGAAAATTGGAATTTTACAAATGAAGATTACCCTTTAAATGATTTATTTTATTAACTATTTCTTTAATAAAAAAATATAATATAATATGAATAAGCGTTTTTGTTTAAATGTTGTTTCTCTAATTTATCTCCTCTTTTAAATTAACGGAATATTCTCAGTCTGTTGACAGGAATTGTGCTTGTAATGAGGTACTCAAAGGATTTTCTATGTCATGTCCTGCAATCTTTCAATCCTATACGGAATACTAAATACCCGTGAATGGAAGGCTTGCGCGCCAAGCGGGGTATCGATTAATTTTCATATCGGCGAGCAGCCGGACGGGAGGCCTTCTTAGCATACTGTGCCGCATCCGAGATCTTTGCATAATGGCCCGGCATTTGCATATCTCCGTCGTGGACGTCGACATGCTTCCGTTGACGTGCCGGCGAAATTTCTTGTCGCGGAGTGCTTCCAGACAGAAGCCCGCGGCCTAGTCCCCCTCCCCTCTTCCTCCCCCCCCAACTCCCTCGTTCCATCGATTTCGGGATCGATTCGATGCGAAAAAACGAACCGCGCTGACACCATTAATCATACGACCGTCGTCGTCCACCAGGCATCCTCGATGTTGCATGACGAATTATTTATACAGTAATGGCGAATTGCACACGGCCAGAGATCCGCGATATAGATAACAAATTGGCTAATCTGCGAAGAGAACAATTAGAAAATTGCGAATGCTTTGCTTTATCTCGGATAAGTTATCTCAGAGAGAATTATCTAGAAAACGTATGTAGAAGTTTAGGAAGTAAAGTTTCAGCCAATCTACTTATTATTTGCATTTTTAATTCATATACGACATGCATGAGGCGTCTCTTATCTCCGTCAGAGTTGACCGGGAAGCTTCATTGAGAATGCACTTTAAAATGCAATAATTGTGCGACGCGGCGCGGCGTATAGAATAGCGTGGTGCATTCCGGCATGAAGTTGGTATGCAAATTCCGTTTGAGGCAGTAATCGGAGGGTTGCCCAGGTAAAATCAAAGCGACAATAGACGATGTGGCTTCCGGCGAAACTTTCCGTCGCGGAAGACAAAGAGGGGACGATAGAAGGTTCTCTCCCACGGGAACGCTTTGTTGAGGGGGACGAATTCTCTCAAAACGTTTATGAGACGCCTACAAACGCGGTATCCTTTGAAATCGCGGGAGCCGGCCGATAAATCGAAATAAATAATTTCTATCAGGCGGAGAAACTAAGTCGCAGCTTCCTCTGCCCGGCCCGTCTCGCTCGTTTCCCGAATAAAACGTATCCCCGGGGGAAAAAACTGGGAAATATTGTCGCGTGGAAAGAGATAGAAAATTGGCGAGAAGTATGTATTGCCGTGTCATATTGTATCCTGTATTTTTATTAAGATTTCCATTTTAATTTATTTTTTTTAAATAATTATATTTTAGTTTATTCACTTTTATGGATTTTTAGAGAGGCAAATTTACCAAAAATGAAAAGTTGATAAGCAAAAAGATAGCATTTTAGTATGTAATTTTTTTATTACTTGTATTTTCTTATCGCTATTAAATTGATGGGAAGAAAGCAGGAAGTTGCAAGAGCGGTTTATGAAATGATAAAAGTGCAGATAAAATAAAAATATTTTTTAACCACTTGTTAAATAGTTACAATTCTGAAAGCTCTTCTATTATATGTAGAAATTTAAGGCATCAAAGCTTTGAACGTGTAAAAATTTGGGGAATTCGAGAGAAAGGAATCTAGAACTTTTTAAATATTTTATCGAAATGTTAGCGTACTAGCAAACTAGCTTTATTGAATTTTTAGATTTTGAAAATTTGAATTGAAAGGCTAAATAGTGATTTAAAATCGTCAAGATACTTAAAAATCTTTAATTAACTAAATCTTCACACATTTTTTTATTAATCTAGAAAAATCAAATTAAATATTTATACATCTTATTGAATATTATGATACATTATAACACTGAATATATATTTAAAATGAAACTTAAAATTTAATTTATTTCTACGGTAAAAATGATGGTAAAAAATAGAGCTAGATATATATAAAGTATTAAATGCCATGTTACATTTGAGTGTCTCGGTCTCGAGAGATTTAATCGATTTTGGGATTTCGGAAATGGGAGGACAGGCTAGTGCATAGTACACTAACCTGTGGAGGATGCACCCGGAGGGGCGCCCTGAGGGGCGCCTAACCACCCTGATGACCAACCTGCTCCGGTCCCACCGATGTTTTGCTGTTGTTCCGCCAATAATCTTACTGTCAACGCGTACGTTAGTAACATTACTCCTAGCGGGATATAGAAGCAGATTATGCTACCGATTAACTTGTAGAGGGGATCGGGAATCTGGCAGGCACCGTCCACCAGCACCGAATCATCTTCCTGAAACAGAACATGAAAATGGATCTGTTAATTACTGTTTGATGTTAACTTGCGTGAATATTCGAGTCTGCTAGATGTGTGGCGACACTATTGAATTAACAATAAATTATTATCAATTATCAGCTAATTAAAATTTATGATCATTTATTTAAATACCATAACCTTTTAAATATTGCACTGTAACTAAACTGTAACGTATTACTGATACTAAGTAGGTAAAAGAATTAATGGTCTGTTTAATTTAATATTAACGAAGTTGCTCTCAGTGACAGACGATTAACTTTTTATTATAATTTATTCGAAAATTATAATTATGAATAAGTAAGATGATTAATTATAAAACTTGTTTGATTGAAAAGAATTTAATAATTATGTTTATAGAATAAATACAAGCTTTAGTTAACGATCTTAAATTTAAAACAAAATTTAAAAACTAGCGATTGCGAAAAAAAAATCAAAAATTGGTAAAAAAATTGATTAATACATAATGTTAATTTAAATTATAATGTGCCAACGGTAACAATAAAAAATTATGAAGAATCAGTTATGTATTTTAAAGTTAGTATCATTCTGTGACAGAAATATGCTGTAAGTCAATAAGTCTGAAAGAGAATTTAGGATCGCGATTTTTTTTTATATGTTCCAGGACTCCGGAACAATGTCCCAGTGTGGTGTCCCTCTTAGCGGAAAGCTACAATCCTCATGTGAGATACGGCGCAGCGATGGCTTTGGGCATTGCCTGCGCGGGTACCGGCTTGAAGGAAGCTATCGCTCTGTTGGACCCAATGACTAATGATCCCGTAAATTTCGTCAGGCAAGGCGCACTGATCGCCTCTGCCATGATTCTGATCCAGCAAACGGAATCCACGTGTGCCCGCGTTAAAGATTTTAGAGCACTCTATGCTAAGGTTGTCGTGGACAAACATGAGGATGTGATGGCCAAGTTTGGTGCAATTTTGGCGCAAGGGATCATCGACGCCGGTGAGTATTGTTTTCTTTAGAGCTTCTTTCTTGCATGTGACAATCGCAGCAATCTGCGATGTAAATTTTAAAGGTACAAGATGTTGTATTCTAAATTTCTTGAGGCGCTAAAAATTTCGTGAATTTTTGGAACACGAGAAATAAAGTCAAGGACAAGAGCACTTGCAGAATATGATACGAGCGGACTTTCGTCTTTTCTTAGGTGGTCGTAATGTAACCGTGTCTCTGCAATCGCGTACGGGACATACGAACATGCTGGCTGTGGTCGGTGCTCTGGTATTCACCCAATATTGGTACTGGTTCCCACTGGCGCATTGCTTGGCTCTGGCTTTCACACCCACGTGTCTGATCGCTCTCAATGCTCAGCTAAAAATGCCTAAGTTGGATATTAAATCAAACGCCAGGCCAAGCATATATGCTTATCCTGCGCCGCTCGAAGAGAAAAAAAGGGAGGAACGAGAGAAAGTCACCACCGCCGTTCTCAGTATCGCGGCACGCGCCAGAAGACGCGAGACTGAAAGGAAAGCCAGGGATTCCCACGAGAAAATGGAAGTGGTAAGTTAAAGAGAATGTAGAGAAAAATGTTCTCTTGTAACCCAGCCAAATCAAACGAAGAAAATAGGGGCGGAAATAATTATGAGAATGTTCAATGATATGATATGCGCCTTTTTTCAGCGTGAATTGTACGAATTATTGATATCTTGAAGTATTTATTTCACGCTCGAGCAATCAATTCGCGAAAATATCATTTTTTAATTATTTTCTGTTTGTATCTTAAATAATTCTTAATCGATATTGTAGTTTTATAAAATGGAATAGAATTATAGTCTTACTATTTTTTATTATTATTGATTGAATTAGCGTGTTTATGATAAATATACACGTTGAAAAGTTTCAACGAGAAGTGTCGTAGGAATATAATTTTTTCATTAAGACTTGGCACTAAAATAGCGAGTTAGTTTATTTTCGAATTTTAAAACTTCTAAAAATTATAAACAGTCGTTTTTAAATATTTGGTACCTTTGAATTTTTAGATACTTCAATTTATATATACATTTATTAATTTTCTCGTTTTTGTTAATTTAAACTCCTGCGGTTTGAAATTTTTAGATCCACGTTGAAAGTTCCGATATTTCGAATTTTTTAAACTCTCGAATGTTTAATTTATTAAATTTATGGATCATACAATGTACGTTTTTTTCGTTTATTGACCGTTGATTAAAGATTTAATCAAGAGTCATTTAACTGAATTGTTATAAATTTATATTATATATTTTTTCGTTTTTACGCATTTGCTTGCGTTATATGACGTATATTGCGTATTTAAATTGCATTTTTATCTTTCAAATATATTGAGTCTCAAGTTCGAATTTCAATAAACGAGAGTAGAATTTCTTTTATTAAAGATCTGCGTATTTCTTTTATCAAAGAATCAGATTGTTATTCATCTGTAACCTATTAAGATTCTTCCTATCTTGGGACTCTTGTGGTGATTTACATGACAAATTCACGACAAATGATAGGGCACGCTAATAGATTTCAGACACTCGTCTACATAAAAGAAGAGAAACTAAATAAAAATTGCAGGATCCACCTTCAGAGACGAAGGAGCTTCAGGAGGTGAAGGAAGCTGCTGCATCGTCTTCGAAGGAGAAGGACGACAAGAAAAAAGACGAGAAAGAGACTAAGGAAACCAAGGAGAAACCCGAGAAGAAAGTGGTAAAAGACGATGAAAAGGAGAAGAAAGAACCCGAGCCGAGCTTCGAGAGCCTCCAGAATCCCGCACGAGTTCTGCGTCAGCAATTGAAGGTCATTCAGTTGGTTGAGGGCAGCCATTACACTTCCGTTAAGGATATTCAGATCGGTGGCATTGTCATGGTTAAGCATATGCAGACGGACACCGAGGAGGAGCTCGTCGAGCCTGTCGCTGGTGAGTGATTGATTCTATATTCTGTTCAAAACTTTCTTTCGGAAATTGATTTTAAAGAAAAAGGAACTTTAATATTTAACAGATAACAATGATAATAATTGAATCGAAAATTTCACCATGGTGAAAAATAACAGTTTATGAACTATAAATATTGATACGATTATTTATTTCTTAAATTAGAAGTATTTACTTAGAATTATTTATTAATTACTAGATTTCGAGAAAAAATTTGGGAAAATTTAATTATTAAACTTTTTTATCTTTTATTCACACACACATACACACGCGCGCGCGCGCGTTATTTATTAATTTATAAATTGTTGAAGATTTAAGAAATTTTGCATGTAAAAAAATGATTAGTACTCTATAATATATTTATAATATTTTTAATATTATTGAAAGAGAGATTTATCAGAAAGAGAGACAAATTATTTTACAAAACAAAAATAAAATTGTTATAAATGAAAGGGCCAGGTTGATCCGTTTTTGTTTGGAGTATCGAGTACGTGCTCGAGGGGTGTACGCTTGAGCACTTCCGGTTTGTTTCAGCCTTCGGACCGAAGCCGGAGGAAGAGAAGGAAGCCGAACCGCCCGAGCCCTTCGAGTATACCGAGGATTAAAGGCCGGAAACAGGCGTCGGCCCGTTTCGCCATCCTGTCGCCCGTCATTCGTCATCGCGATGGTATCGCGATACGGCCGTCGTCACTTTCCGTTAATGTTCTCGCGTCTCTTTTTTTATATTCGATTTCCTTTTGTGTGTCTATTTAATCAGCGGAATGCTCTGCCAGCTACATGCAATAAAGCCGTTGCGTCAGAGCTACTCATGTTATCAGTCTCTCCGACCTTACAACTCTTTAATTAGGTTCCTAAGCAGAAGATTAATGAACAACTCGGCAATTTAGTTATTTATGAATAGGAATGTTTGTGGAATATAATGAGAATGTATTTAATTTTTTTTTAATTCTAGGAATTAATTTTTATTAGCAAGAATAAACAGAGAAAGATCAGAATATAATGAAAGTAATTCATATATTGCTGTGCAATGATTGTAAATAAATTGAAAATTCCTTTTCTTCTGACAATGAGTCTTGTGATGTTCTCTACATATATATATTATGTATTTATAAACTACATTTTTATAGAGAACTAAATATAAATCATTTCTCTGTTTCTGATTAAATTGCTAATAATTGACAATTAATTTTTATATATGTCACAATTTTTTTCTAATCAATGAAATTTCAATAAAAATATTATGTCAAAGAGATACTTGTTTTACCAGTCAGCATCCCCTTTAAGCAGAGAATCAGGAAGATATTATGTAATAAAATTTGCGATTTTTGTTATATATATATTTACGGATTTTTAGAGAGAGAGAGGAGAAAATATTAATGAAATGATGTGTGCATTTTTATTTTGTTTATTTGTAGGAAAAATTACAATCGGCTTTCGTTCAAAAATATCTGTTTTTCTACCCTTGCAATTTCGCCGGAATAATTTTCACGGGGCGTGGTGCCAGTAAATAAATTGATTGTCGGCACTCCTCCGTGTGGCTTGTTATTTTCCTGTAAATCACTTATTAATAATTTAAACTCGCGGGAGACAATCGCGGAGTCATCCTTACACGTCCTGCCCGGGCACTTTATTTCGAAAGTTAGCGCGGAGTTTCCGCGAGACAATACACTCCATAATTCATCGTGCTCATCGTTAAAGTTTGACGCGGGGGTTTGCGGGTCACCCCGTAGACATGAATCTTCCTTGAAATGCGCTTCCGCTTTCAGTCCCCGTCGTCCCCGTAATGGTCAGCTCGTGTTCCGCTTTTGCGGCGGTCGCCTTGATCGAGCGCGAGTCATAACGTTCGTCGGTGGCTGCATTGGGAGAGGAGGGAGGGGAGCGGGAAGGGAAGATGAGGAGACGGACACCCTCTCGTCGCAAGATTGCAGTCCACGCACGTGTACATTCGCCACACGTGTTCTCGGGAAGGTGCGAATTCCGTTCGACGTCAGCCGATGACACTCGACGTGAGGTCTCGTGGGAATCGTGAGTGGCTCGCGGAGATGATGTCGCCGCGCCCTTTAATTTTCCACGTAGGTTTTTCAAGACGGGAAGAAAACTGAGAAATATCGAGAATTCAAGGATTTTGCCGTTTGCATTATGAAATCGACGGTAAAGATGTTTCAGGGGAAATCTGGACTTAGAGAGGTAAGAGGATCTCCCGAAAATTTCTACATTATAAAAATAAGAATATTTTGGATCGTTGCGTCAAGAATCAGTGAATCTAAAAAATTTATGACACCAAAGTCTGCAAAAATAAAAAAGGTTCTGCCAATTTCACAAACTTCAGAATTTTTATATTCAATTTTTTTTTACAGAAATTCTGAAATTCATACCGCTAGAAATGTCCCGATTGGAGAAAACGATGGTGTTCAGAATATACAAATTTGATGTACCGTAAAAAGGCTCTTTTCTTGAGCCACCGTCTATTTTATCCCAGCCACGAAGTTTGAATCTTAAATTAACGCGTTCGGAGTACATGATTTTACAACGTAGAGGAAAATATGGCGGAATACGCGCGTGTATACAATCGGATGGGAATATCCTATTTTTGTCGTCTCGCGGCGACGTCAGGCACAGGATTCACTCCGGGGTGTTGGATGGAATTTTGAATGAGTATATGGCGGCCGCGAAATTTGGATCAATACCCAAGTAAGGCTTGAAACGCGCTGGTAAATGGTGTTGTAAAGTTGCTGAAACTCGCCCGACAAACTCGTCGATGCGCGGTGCTCTGCGGCGCGGTGCTCGTCGCGTCGCGTTGCGTTGCGTCGCGTCGCGTCGCGTCGCGTCGCGTCGCGTCTCACCCTCGCGCTGTGAAACGAAAGTAGTTTGCACATTTGCAAGAGCAGTTTGCAAGCCGAGGCAGCTTCTACGACGATGAACATGCTGCGGGGTAAGAAAATAACCTGTTAGACGTGTACACATTACATCCATCCCCGGAAAACCCATAACGCCGGCATTTTCCACCGGAATTTGCAGTCATGTTTTCATTCGCGAAAATTAAAGGCGACACGTATAATTACTTCGTTGTCGCGCGCAGCTAGTGGGTTCTCCGGTGCACCGTTATTTTTTACTTCGCTTAAACACTCTTGACGTAAATGGAAAACGTAAAAAATACGAGTAAATGCAACATGTAATAGCGAATAAAGAACAAACTCAAGATAAAATTAATTTTATGTATTATGGAGCTGTAAAATAATTATGTCAAATTATAGGTACTATAAAAATAGCGTGCAATTATTTAAAATGCACACTCGTTGCGCATTCGCTGTATTATTATTTAGCAATGACGATGAAGGCTCGGGATTTGGACGGTGACATTTAACGCGATTTTCGGGACGGTTGTGGCATAAAGCCGCATTGAAACGACAGCCGGTTGAAGGGTTACTCGGGGATTTACGAGGGAGCGTAAATACGCCAAAACAGCGGACAACTGTTTCATAATGTCGCTTCATCCCCGTGCCGTTAATTTCACTCGGGCGAGGGAATATCGCGCACCGCGCCGACCTCCTTTTCCGAACGGGATGCCGCCGCCGCCACCGCACCGATGAAAAACGGCCGTCGCGGTGTGCAGTCCTGTATAAATCCGTCCCGCTTCCTATCCCTGCATCGAGAATGATCGATGAGCGACGCTTCCCGCAAACGGCGATAAACTTTCGGCTATCGAGATTCGCGCGCGTCTCTGCCTGAGACCTGAGAGAGGGATTTTACGGGCGAAACCTCGCAATCTTTTGATCGTTACGGAAAATTGAGTAGCATGTTCGCGCGAGGGAGAATGTAACAAAAAATTATCGCAGTTACGTTCTAGCCGTTGTAAGCTGGCCGTGTATTCAGATCTCTCTAGAGAGATGGACGATTTTTCATCAAAACTATAATATGGAGTGAGTGAAAAAAATTTGCACGCGGGATAGAAGAAAATATGGGATATCACGGAAAGTGACAGTACGATCAAGTAGACCAGTGATTTTTATTGAAAAGAAAAATGAATAAATTCTTTTTACACGAAACTTTATATATTTATTTTCGAGAAACGTAATTTTATATACATATAAAATTTATTTTTGATAGAGAGAGAGAGAGAGAGAGAGAGAGAGAGCTGGTAAAGATTAATATTTCATCCACTCGCTTAATATTCGTGAGAAGTAATGAAAAAAGAATTTTTTTTACACGAAATTTTATATATATTCTGGAGAAAGATAATTTGCATGTACAATTTATTTTTAATTATTAATAAGGATGAGAGGGAAAGCTAAGGTATTAAAGTCTGACTAATTACTGTCTTTATCTACTTGTCGAATATTCGCGAGAACATAATGAGAAAAAGTAAAAGGGAGATAATTAAAAGATTCTGATTGATAAAATAATTATCGCGGAAAGTGCGATCGATTCGAAAATGCGACGGCTCACCTTCGAGTACATTAAGCTCAGGGGTAGGCTGATGGCGATGCTCAGGATCCATACGAAGGTGATCTTCAGCGTCACCCTCTTCTTCGTCTTATTGCGCCCGAACTTCATCGGGTAGCGCAGGCTCAGATAGCGATCCACGCTTATGGTGCACAAGTGCATTATGCTGGCGGTGCAAAATAGCACGTCGAGGCAAATCCAGGCGAGGCAATAAACCGACGGCAGCGGGAAGTATCCTGCGAAAACAAAACGGCGAATGAGTCTTGCTCGCGTAGTCGCGCTCGCGGAACGCGGGCTAATTAAATCCTGACTCAATTAGTGGCATCTTGGCTCGCCTGCAGAGAGATAAATTTCAATTATCTCGACATTCGTCCGCGCGGTATTTTATTTATGCGCAACAGTATCGCTGTGGATATTTTCTGTATTAAACGGGCTTTAATGTCAAGATATACATTACATTGCTGCACGGAATTATTGTAATATGACAATTGAAGTTTTAATAAGCTGACATAAAAAAGTTTTAGAGAATTAATTTTCGCTGACAGTTTTCTACAGCTTAACATTAAATTCCGCTTAATATTAAATTTCTTTATTGTGCCTAAAATGTTCAAATATTAGAAATTAAACACTGGCGTGTGAATTATTATTGATCGGACGTGTTGAAATTACCGTTGCTATCCTTGACTTCTTAGTACGATGTTATATCGAGACGACATCAATACTTCGGGCTTGCTGGCATATATGATAACGATAGACAAGCAATTTACATGCGTAGTTTATTAAGTAAACTTCGTAAAGGGCGCGGCAATTTTCCTTTAATCTTCGCTAGATTGCATTTGAGGCAATTCGGGGCCAATCGATATTAAATTTTCAGTTTCTCCCGTCTGCCTGGCTCGATATGTGGAAACGGTAATATTATCGCAAATAAAAAGCTGTTATCTCGAGATCGACGTTGCAGTGATTTCATTCTTTTTTTTTCGACCTTTAAACTTTGTTTAATAATTAATCTTCGTAGAGCTGTTATTCGAGTCTCAACGGGTGCTCTCGGGTTTTTTCAATTATTCATTTTTGCAAGCTGCCAAAGGCCATAATTGATACGCCCACTCTTCGTTAATAAACGTTTTACGTCTAGTGCGACGTGGCCGCGCAAAAACTTTAGTTTGTCGAGCAACTTCCGGCTGTAAAACTTCTCCGCCAAAGGTTACTTGCTAATCATTTTACGCGCGTAATTAATGAGTAATAAATATACTCGCGCTCTGCAATCTTCTTCGCAAAGCCGTTCTTTTTATGATATAAATGTTTTCCCAGAATTTTATAAAACAGGGATTCAGTTTTAATAAGAATTTTATTTGCCTTAAATTCTAGATTAAACGTTTAGCTCGGATCTCTTTTTGTTTGGAAAAAAAGCTCGACATTATTTTTCTGGTATGTTTTAATACCAGTTAACCAATCTAATCTCAGTACAAAGATCCCGCTTATTCGTAGTAAAATTAGGATTCCCAATTAAGATTGGGATTTAATTTATTCGCCGAAATATACATTTCGGCAAGGTTAGCTTTCAGATATACTGGAAAGGGTTAAATAAGCGAGGGAAAGTCGCTCAAGGGATCACAGATTGTTTTCTTAAATACACGAGACAATGATTAAACCTTTAACTGTAAGCTTCTCTTTGACAGTGATTATTTAAATTTCCGCAGTGCAAATGTCGCACGAGGTTTGCGCGTTCGCGAGGATCGGCGTTCTCCCCGTAGGTAGGGATGAAAGTACCGAAAGCGTAGACCCGGCAGGTGAAACGACAGGCGGTTAATGCACGAAGGAGCGAGGGATTAACACAACTCCGCGTGTCGAACGAAATTACCGTCTCGTGCCCGCGCCGTGCAGCCTCTAGAAACTGCATATTCATGTACGCCGCCGGATTATCCACCGTGTATACCGACGATCTAATATTTCTCCGTGTTATTAATGTAGTCGCTGGTGTATACTCCGCACCGTGATTCTGGCTGCTTGCAAAATCGTCAGACGTCCCCCGGAGATTTGCACGCGCACCGTCCGTATATAGTACGTTTATTCCTAAAGAAAGCGTCCACTTACGATTCAACGTACGTTATTGTAAACTATTGTACATTATACATGCATTTCATTTGCAGTGCACGATACATTCGCGGTGGCCGCGACGCGCGGTGGAAATAGCATAAAGTATGGAATTATACAAAACTGAATTTTCCAATTAAGCGAATCCAGCTTAGTTAAACATAAAAAAAACTCGGAATTTTTTAAATCATAAATTAATTGATATATCTTTTTTTTGTGCGATTGACGAGTTTTTATGAAATTAAAAGCGGGAAGTTTTTTCTGTGAGTTAAATTTTGCAGAGAGAGAGAGAAAGAGAGAGTGCAAAAGTTAAAAAGAAATTTATCCACATGGATATTAATGAAAGTAAACATATATGTATGTTTCATACATCATGTATAATTCAATACAAAAATGTCTCGATCATGGTAATGACATTTTGATATAATATATTCTGAATATTAATTACACTTTAAACAATCCTAACGTGAAAACGTTCGGAGTCGAAATATGTAGTTTTCGAGTTAATAAGCGATGGCTAATAATATCGCGCGGAATTAGAACAGCAATTATCCTATTATTGATTTGACATTAGCCTAGATCGCCTAGATGATATTAACTTCTGCTGTTTAAATAATTTTGTCTTGCTCTTTATACGTATTATTATTATAGCGCTCACCTTGCTGTGACGATTGTTAATTACATTGACAAAATTACATTATTAATGTTATACGGACAATTATTGTACTGACGGCAAATTTTAAATATACGGCTACGTTACTTAATCCCATTTCTCACGAAACTGAATTTTGTGCGAATCGAATGAAATAAATCGTTATATCTCGGGTAAACATTACGCGCCGCAATGAAACGAGGCGGAAATTTCGGGACAATAGCTCGTTCACCGAAACAAATTCGAAATTCGAGTAACGTAATGCGTACGCGCTTGCCGCGCGAATTTACTTTGCAAAATGTGAAATTTTTCAAAGCGGCAAACGGATCGGCCGACCGCGCGACCTTGGCACTTATTTTTGCGGCGCGCGTATACATGCAGCGTGTTATGTTTACACAAGGTCGGCGCGCTATCACTCGCGGCGCGGCGACGCTCCGAGCGAGAGGGTAGTGGCGCGTGACCCCTTCGAAACGCGATTTGCGGCGAGCACCAAGACGAAGCACGAACTAATTAGCGGCCGTGGGGTTGCTCGCAACTCTCGCTATATTTGACGACTAGCAAGCGGTTCAAGTTTCAATGTGACTATTTACCGTGGTATCGCATTTCGCGTGACTCTCGCTTGTTTAAAGCCCCGCGCACTGAAGCGAGAGAGGAATTATTAATTATCATTTTGTTTCAAGCGACAGTCAACTTCTTTATTGGTATTTAAAATCGAACGTCGTATTGCTCTGAAGCCCGTGTCGCATTATTATACGCATTGAAAATTGAGAATTGCGAATTGAAGATTTGAATTCGACCAGTCAGATAATTTATTTAATTTCAATCCGTTCTGTTTTGATTGGATTTAATTCTTTAATGGAAAATTGGGGAGTGCGAATTGAAAATCAGAATTCGGCCAATCAGATATAATTTTAATTTTTTAATCCGTTTTTGTTCTGACTGATTAAACTCTAATCTCCGAATTCACAATCTTCAGTCTTCGATGTGTAGTCTGATTGCGTGCTTTAAAAGTTTTCATTAATTCAAATCCCGTTTTCGATTTAAAAGTGGCGTGAGTCGAAAAGAAAGTACAAAATACGAGCGCGAGAGAAGCCGAGATGATTGCCGATCATTTATTGATAATACTATCGGGATTTGTACGTCCAAGATATACTGATGTGTGGAAACAGCGTTATATAATGAATTTCAATTGTGCGTATGTATTTTTGAACGATTTTTGAATATTTTCAGTCGCGCCTCAGCCGCGTGTTAATTCGACTCGCATATGTAGTTTCGCGCGAAGTTCGCGCCGTCATTCTAGTAAGTCCCGAGGACTCACGGAACGACACGAGCGCGGAGACGATCGGCCGGATCGGCGTATTCCGGGCATTTGGCGTTGCGTCGCGCCCGCCCGCGGTTAATCAGTAAGTGCAGTCACACAATTAATCCCCGTATTTCAATACTCATCGCGTCGCGTGACGCCAATTCAATCGGCGCTCGTGCTTCGGGCGATTCGTTGAAACGCGTACATTATTCCGCCCCGGGAATCTATCTCGCCCGCGAGCTGTCGGCGAAACGACGCCGACGCGACGCGGCGCGCGCGCGACATTCACGCGTCGGACGGTAGGTTAGACTCACGATTTGTTCTTGATATTATTCGTATGTTTCTTCGCGTATCAAGTATTTCGTAAAGCGAGATAGTAATCGTGTCCTGAAACGCGAGTCATAGCGAGGAGGAATATACGCATATGAATGCATGTATGCATATATACAAAAAAGCGTCCGCAGGATTTTGTCTAGAAACGGGCATGATCCAAATTGTTAATACCAATTACCGCGAGGAGCAAATGTCCAAACGTTGTATTTTTCTCTCACATTTGTCAAACATATTTGTTATTCATAAAAATAAGAGAGCAAATTCGGAATTTTCTTATACTCGTTTGATTTCAGGGGGGGGGGGAGGTGGAGAGCAAAAGCCTCTTCTTGCCTCCCCGGCCCCATCCCCTGCGGACGTCCATGTATATATATTACCGATCGCACGTGTACGCTCGTTCCCCGAAGTGCAGAAAGTGCACTAAAGGCGCGCTGCGGGTAATACAGCGTCGCCGGACGCCGCGACGAGTGACGCGTGAAGTTGATCGCGCAATTTTCGAGCTCTCTCTTCCTCCGTCACGCCGCTTGTTGTGCTAACTCGGTAGATGTTTCGCGCGGGGCGCTGCACGTAATCTTTTTCCTCCCCGCGATGTTCTTCGCGTCGTAACGAAGTGCCGAGTGCGCGTCGCGTACGGTCAACATCGGGAGTGCCGTGTAAAGTGCCGCGCGACCGTAATTTAATGAAACCCGTCTTTTCCGCGAGTGAGCGAGCGTTGTGTGGGCGCACGAAGGAGCTGGCGGCGGCGAAGAAAACTGTAGGAGAGGAGGGAGAGGAGGAGGAGGCCCGGGGTGGCGTCGGCGGAGCAGCCACGCGGTAAGTAAATTATTGCTTACGTACTGTTTGTTCCTCGCGGGCTTAAT